CACAGAGGAACACGAAATTGCCATCCACCATTGAGTTAAGTATCAACCTGTCTTGACTCTTGCGGGCAGGTCGCGATGTTAGAGATGCGCCGTCCGATGCCACGGATGGCGGTCAGCGCATACATCACCTTCACGTGTAGATTGTCTTGAAATGTTGTCTCCTACTTGGGGCTCAGGGTAACCTAAACTACCTAAACCTGCATTAGTACAGTAGCACCGCTTTCGTACAAGCTTGTCACACACATACACACAGGCACACACGACAGAGAGAGAGAGAGAGACACACAAAAAGAGACATGTGTATATATAGCGAGAGAGAGAGAGAGAGAAGATAGATGCATATATAGAGAAAGTCATGTCTGTATGCATATGTTATCTATGCATATTTACAAACATATGCGTATACATGTACACATGTGTGTACATATTACATACATACATACATACATACATACATACATACATACATACATACACACATACACACATACATACATACATACATACATACATACATACACACACACGAACGAAGTCCAGATCAGGCTTAGGGCAGTTTAGGGTTTAGGGTCTGTGCTGAATGCATGTTGGCACCTATCGCAACATCAGATTCAGGTAAGCAAGCCCAACACCCTGCCTTCTGTCGGCCATCCACGTTGGTGTTGCACATACCTTGGAAATCGACCAAGGGTGGGGGAGGGGCAGGCTTCTACCCTCCACAAACCCGAGACCTAAACCCGAATCCTACAACCCAAAACCCCGAAATCCTAAAACTCCTAGAGCCCCGAACCCTAAACCAGGAACCACAAACTCGTATACACCTAAACCCTGCACACAAGCGTGGACGCCGACTGGGAGGATCTTTCTCGATGGGCGTCCTAGTGCGCCAGGTCCAAATCTCCTCCTACTTTGATTTTGGCCACCCTCAACAAGCAATGGGATGTAGGGTGTAGTACTGCTTAAGGGCCAAACTTCCGAAACCCCGAATTAAGATGAGTCCAGATCTTGAGCTGTTCAACACTGCTTCTGCAAGACAGGTTATCTCTATGACTTGGGGTCTAGCCGTTTAGCCCCCCTAAACTCAGAAACACGAAGGCAGCCACAGCAGAAACGGAAACCTGACACCTTTCACATTGTTATTTCCTAGATCCCGAAGCCGCCAACCCCCACATCCCAAACTGGGCTTAGGGCGCTTAATGAGGAGATTAGATTTACAGGTACCATGCGTTGGGTCATCCTACTTGTCAGCCTATACGTACCCTGCTTGCCAAGCCAACTAGGGCGTCGGGGCTTTATTGTTTGGAGTTTAGTACGCGACCGAAGCACAGATATCCGACTTAGCACCGATTTACTAATCCTTTGAGCAATCTGCAAGATGGCTCCACGCACTAGATCCTAAGATCCCTAACCCCTAGACCGACTGAAACAACGTAAAGCACAAAGTCCTACACTCCGATGGCACTCAAAACCTCCAAACACCCCAAACCCTAAAGGGTTTAGGGTACAGCGTTCAGGGTTTAGTAACCCTAAACCCTAAAATCCAGGGTTAAACCCTAAAGGCCCCAAACCGCAAGTCCACATCTTGAGCCCCAGGCCCCTTCAACCCTGCCAACATCCAACTGAGAACCTAAAAGACCTTGCAATCCTAGGGTTTAGGGTTTAGGGTTTGGGGTTTAGGGTTACAACAACACGGCTTGAAAAAACAACTATTCACCTAGTGCCGGCTTTTGCTACGACCTAACCCTACGCTCGTACACCCTAACGCCCCCGAACCCGCCACCATAAAAAAAAGCGCTCAACCGTCTGAACCCGCAAGGCATTGAGCTCCGCTCCAAAACCCCTCCTGACTCCCTATAAATCCTGGAACCGGTATAGTAACCCTACACCCTAGATCCTAAACCCCTAAACCCCTAAACCCTTTGATTATCAATTAAACCCTTAAACCCTAAACCCTTAAACCCAAAACTACTTTCTGTTGAGCTCCGGGACGAAGGATGTGCTGGAAGTTCCTCGGTTGCTGCGGGTTGGGGCTATGGCTATGATGGTGTTCAGGGTTGTTGAAGCGATCTAAGGGTCTTACAGGGTTGAGGGTTCAGGGCTTCAGGGTTGCAGGGTTTAGGGTTTTCGGGTTCAGGGTTTTAGGGTTTAGGTTTAGGGTTTCAGAGTTTAGGGCTTTTTAAAAGGCTTAAGATCTTGGGGACTCCGGTGGCGTTTCAGAGACGGTTCAAGCTGAATCTTCGGGCTGAACCCTAAGCCATACGCCCGTGTAGGGACGACATGATACGACGTCAACGATGCCCGGAACCCCAAACCCTGCACCTTCAACCTTGTACTTGGAGGTTCATGGGTAGTTATAAGTAGGGCTATAAGGAGGGTAACTCACTGTAGTTATAACTTATATTCGGGGACTTATAACTCCATTTATAACTACCCATGATCCTCCAGGTACGTCCTATGTAATCCCAAGCCGTTGAATCCTAATCCCATAACCCTGTCAACCTACACCGAAACCCTAAGACCCAAACCCCCGGTCCCAAACCGAATGATTGAACCTCATTACCTGGGTCCTATAAGCCCAAAAACACTAGGATCCATATAAAGGACCCCAGGGTTTCTTCATGAAGCTCCTGTATATTAGGGCCCTTATAGATCCCTTCAAGGATCCCTTGTAAAAGGAACGCTTCAAGGAACCCACCCTCAAAGGAACCCTGAAATTTGACGGTTTCTCCCACACGGGGCTAGGCTCTGCGACTGCATCTGGATTTGCACCGACATGGCGCGAGGAGGGCTGGCAGAGAGGGCGGAAGCTGTGGACTGTCGGCGAATCCCTCGAAGAAGCGGGCGCGAGCCGGCGCGGGCAGAGGCTTGTTTGCAGGTGTTGGGATTTTGGAGTAGGGTCAAAGTTCCAGGGCCCCTTAAACTCTAAATTCGAAAAATCTCCCGGGACCTTCAAATAATCCCAAGACACTAAGCTCAAAAGCCTCTACACCTGAAGCCCCAAAAGCTTCCAATCCTAAATCATGTCCGGGGCTGAACTGAAGGATACTCCTTAAAGCGTTTCGGGCTTAAGGTTTAGGATTGTGGGTTTCTCTGCTCCTTAGTTAAGGAATATAATATACCTAAAGCTATAAATTATGATTTGAGCTATACTCCTTATTAAGGATTCAAGATCAAGGACCTGTATGCAAGACACGGAGTAGTAGGATCCTCCTTGGAAGGTCCCCTTGAAAAAATGCTTCAAGAAAACTCCGAATTATAGCCCAATTGAAGGATTTAGGATGCGCTGGACTTCTTTTGCACCGCGATTCCCACTTTGATCCGACTTCGATCCGACCCGACTTCTCACTTCTTCTTGCCTCAGCCACTGGCGGGGGCTAACAGGCAATCGGCGCTTAGGCGCTTAGGGTTTAGGGTTACTTCTTCCGCCCAGAGTGCAGTGACACTACCGGGTTCTTACTACATTGACAGTAGGAGTCGGGTAGGTGGCCCACGAACTGAGCGCGGCCAACTTGCCTGGCGGTTCCGCGCGGCTCAGGAAAACAAGTTCGACTAGAATCGCGGTCCTAAACCCCACACCCGAAACCACTCTTGTAGGACTTGGACTGCTAGGCGCTCTTTCACTTCACTGTTTGGGTCGATGCTGACATTATGGTTGCAGAATGGTTTTGCAGTGCCTGCAAGGGTTGTAGAGGGTTCATATAGATAGATAGATAGATAGATAGATAGATGGATAGACAGATGGATAGACAGATAGACAGATAGACAGACAGACAGACGGATAGATGGATAGATGATAGATGGATAGATGGATAAATGGATATGGATAAACGGATAGATGGATAGATAGATAGACAGATAGATAGATAAGTAGACCGATAGATAGATAGATAGATAGATAGATGGATAGATGCAGAAACTCCATAGAAACGTAGATGACCCATATCAACTCCATCCATGCAAGGCTCCGGCATGTTTAACTGGTCAGTATCGCCTAGCAAGAGACCTGAATAGCCTAGTGGAACTAGCCATTATCAGGATCCCCGTGCAAGGAAAGATGCTGCGGCAACAAACAAGTGCACAAACAATGCAAAAGAGATTTCGCGTATACACACACATAAACATATACATTAACATGTCGGTGTAGGTACGTGCATACGCACTGTATAAATATATACGTATGTACATGTACATGTTAATGTATATGTTTATGTGTGTGTATACGCGAAATCTCTTTTGCATTGTTTGTGCACTTGTTTGTTGCCGCAGCATCAATGTGCGTATGCATGTATGTATGTACGTACGTACGTGCCTACACCGACATGTATGTAAGCACATAGCCGTGTGTTTGAGTTGCTTCTTCGTAAGTTTCTGGTATGTAGTTGTAAAGTTACTTGCTCCTCATTTAAAATGCCTTTTTTAGGTCCCCAAAAAGGTACGGCACCCTGACAAAAAGGATCATGAAAGGGACCTGAATTTAGAGAACTACCTGTGTCGAGATTATTTGCTCTCCAAGGCAAGCTGCCACCATCCATGGATGCGAAGGCGCGGTGGCGGCCGGTGGTCTTCGTGTGCTGACCGCGCACGCGGATGCCCCAGTAGTGGCGGAGACCCCTGTGCAATCGCACGCGCTTCATGCGCTCGATGTCCTTAAATTCACACATGAAGCATCGCCAGAGTCCCTACTTGTGACAGGGCACCAGCGCACACTCAACACACGGGTGTCAAGACCAGATTCACACCAATGCTTTCAGCCAGGCATCCTCACGCAGAGCCTGGTCCAAGAAGTTGGCATACTTCTGGGAGGTCTTGCCGTCCTTGACGTCGCGGTTGCGGTTGAGCATCCACGCCGGGATCTTGAACTCCAAGGGCTTGCTGACCACTGCGACGATCTTGTTCACCTCATCGGTCGTGAGCTCGCCAGCGCGCTTGTTCAGGTCAATGTCGCACTTCTTGCACACCTCACAGAGGAACACGAAATTGCCATCC